CGCAGTTCGTCGTTCGGAAGTCGCCAGCAGCCGCTGTTCCGATCAAGAAGTCCAAGCGCTCGATGGCGCCGCCGGTCACGACAAGGAAGCCTGCCGTCTCAGACTCGCGCGGCGCCGGCAAGAAGTGGAAGGCCCCAGATGTCGTCGTTCTCCGGGACATTGATCTTGAGAGGGTCTTGACGGGCGAAACGGATGGCAAGATTCTGTTCGGCAGTGATTGCGCGGGCATCGACACTGCTAAGCTCGCCTTGGAGTTGCTCGGCATTGGCAACTCCATTGTGCACGTGTTCGCATCGGAAATTGACTTCGCCACGCGCAAGGTTATCATTGCCAGCCACCCCGACTTGTGCGTGCTCTATGGAGACATAACCACCCGCGATAACGCGGCGGTCCCGCGGGTGGACTTGTACATCATCGGATTCCCTTGCCAGCCGTTCTCTGTGCAGGGCATCCACGCGGGGATTGCAGATCCTCAAGGCCGAGGCATCGTGGTGTTTTTCGCCCTAAACTACATCCAGACCAAGCTACCGACGGTGTTCGTCTTGGAGAACGTTGAGGCCCTGACTCACCAGAGGTTCCAGGAGGAGCTGAATGCCATCTTGAACTTTCTCGTCAGCCTCAAAGGCCCCGACGGTACCCCCGCGTACACTGTGAGCATGTCCGTCCTCGACACGTTGAAGGTCGGTGGCTTGCCGCAATCGCGGCGCCGATTGTACATCACAGGAGTGCTGTCCAAGAAGTCCAATGCGCACACGAGTTGGCCGAGCGAGATCCCATACACGCCAATCGAACAGATCTTGGACAAGCATTCGGACAAGCTCGGCACCTTGCCAGTCCATGACTACCAGATCCACAACTTCACCCGCCCGGTGGACAAACTGTCTCAACATCAAGACATATTCGCCAAGACCAACATGCTCATTGCCGAGCTTGACTGCGGCAAGACCAGGTCGCCGCAATACGGCTGGGGGTACGCTCCGTGTTTGACGCGCAACCGGTCTGGCGGTGGGGGCTTCTGGATCTTTGCCAAGCACCGATTCATGACGCTGAACGAGCTCGAGCGCCTTCAGGGGATCCCCCCGGGCCGCATCAACTACGAGGACGCGTGCAGTCCCCGCCAGTGCGCTCAGATGATCGGGAATGCATTCTCTGTCAGCGTCGTCGGCCGCCTCACGAGGAACCTTCTTGTGCAGGCTGGTTTTTTCAAGCGGCTCGCTGACCCGTGGCGGAGAGGCAGCAGTTCTGCATGACGCCTCGCCTCGGCGCGCAACGATGAACGGCGGCCGGCATATGTGCATACGTAAGTGTGCGTGCATGTGAGTGTGTACCTACATACATACGCATGAGTGTGTGTATATATGTGTATGCGCATGTATATTATACATACATACATACGCATGTGTGTATGTATGTATGTATGTGTATACATACATACATACATGCATACATACATACATACATGTGTATATGTATACATACACACATGCATACACATGTATATACATGCATACATAGGGTATGTATGTATGTATACATACATACACATGTATATACATACATACATAGGGTATGTATGTATGTATACATACATACATAGGGAGGCCCATCAACCCGACGAAACCCCGTTTGCGCGCGAACGGGGTGTCGTCAACGTTGAGCGCTCAATGTTGACGAAACTTGGTGGGCTTAGGGCGCCCTTAAGGGTATGCGCGGAGGCGCGGGGCGGCCCAGCAGCCTGACGAAACCCCGATCGCGCGCGATCGGGGTTTCGTCAACATTGAGCGCTCAATGTTGACGAAACTCGGTGCGCGGGCCCTGCGGGGTGTGACGAAACCCCGATCGCGCGCGATCGGGGTTTCGTCAACGTCCACCGGTCGCCCAGGAGCGCGCGCGCACCGAGTTTCGTCGACATTGAGCGCTCAATGTTGACGAAACCCCGATCGCGCGCGATCGGGGTTTCGTCAGCTGGCGACTTCTGCCAGCGGTCCTGGAACCAGGCCTTTAAGGTATCTGGTATTCGCCGCCCGTCGGGGCTCTGAGTGGTGTCTGTTGCGACTCAGACAGTCGGGGCCGGCGTGAGAAAACGTCAACGCTCCTTTGCCATCTTCAACCGTCGCCATCGTCAGCCCCCCCCCCGGGTCTGTTAAGTCGCTACCATTTGATCATCATGGTCATCAGCCATGATCATCATCATCATCATGATCATCATCATGACGATCATCATCATCATCATCGATCATCATCATCATCAACACATGACTATAATATACTATAATCACAATGATAATCATACTCCACACCGTGCGATGCGATGGCGACGCGACGATGATGGCGGCGGCGGGCATATGCGCATACGTAAGTGTGCGTGCATGTGGGTGTGTACATACACACATACGCATGAGTGTGTGTATATGTGTATTCGCATGCATATGTACACATACATACATACATACGCATGTGTGTATGCGCATGTGCATGCGTACGCATGTATGCATGTATGAGGAGGAGGAAGAGGAGGAGGAGGAGCAGGAGGAGGATGTGCACCAGCAGGAGGAGGAGGACGACGACGACGACGACGAAACGATTTTTCAGGCTAAAAAGCCGCAGCCGCTGGCTGCTAAATTCTCTGAATGTCTGAACTGACTTCCTTCTCCTCCTCCTCCTCCCTCCTCCTCCTCCTCCTCCTCTCTCCTCGTCGCTCTCCTCCCTCCCTCCCTCCTCCTTCTCCTGCTCCTTTCCCCATCCACCTCCGCCTCCCCCCTCCTCCTCCTCATCCTCCTCATCCCCCTCATCCTCCTCCTCCTCCTCCCTCTGCCGCGGGAAGGCTGGCACAGCCAGCGCACGCACAGAAAGGCGGAGGTGGAGGGAGGAGCACAAACAGGCTTAGGCGCCCCCCGCCCTCCTGGCGATGTCCGCCTCTAGAATCTCGCGCCTGCCGCGGGCGTCGAGTGCCATGCGGCTCAGCCGCCCCTCTGCGGCCATCCTCTTCTCCATGATGCGTTGCGCGACGCCGGTCCAGTCCTCGAAGTAGCCGTGCAATTGGTAGATGGGAAGCCCTTTTCCCTGTCAGGCCCCCACCCTGCCCCCTATTCCCTTTCCCCCACCTCCGAGGGGGGGGGGCGGGGATATAAGGGCAGAGGGGGGAGCTTACCTGTATTGTTGTCCCCCCCCGTCCTCGTACAACTTGCGACGCCAAGAGCGCGCCCAAGCCCGAGGAGAAGGGAATTGACACCACCACCACCACCAGTGACCAACAGCGCGAGGAGCCAGAGGGCGGGGATATACTATCACCGCCCTACTCCCCGAGGCGGGGATATATTATCCCCGCCTCGGGCAGGGGCATCATGGGCATCCTCGCTGGAGGTGGCCCCCCTGGCGGCGGGGGCGTCGCTTCTCCTTGCCAACCGCGCCTGTGAATTTTTCTGGCGATCCGACCACTGGGCCTCCGCCTCCTTCTCCTCGCGCATCAGCACCTCCAGCGATTGGTATGGGTCCTCCTTCTTCGCGCGAGGCCCTGCTGGTACTGGCCCTTCGCCGCCTCCTTCGCCTCCGCGAGGAGGCCCCGCTGCTGGCCCTTCTGGTGCTGGGCCTTCTGGTCCAGGCCCTGCTGGTCACCGTCCTGCTGATAGCCCTGCTGCTGGCACTGGCCCTTCTGGTGCTGGCCCTGCTGGTAGCCCTGCTGGTCCTGGCACTTCTGGTGGTAGCCCTGCTGGCCCAGGGCTAGCAGGAGGGCCAGTTCCTTCGCCTTCGCCTTCACGAAACCCGCGAGGTCGGGCTCCTTCTTCGCGAGGCCTGGCTCCGCCGCCTGCTCCTCCTTCGCCTCCGCGAGGGCCTTCTGGTGCTGGACCTTATGGTCCAGGCCCTGCTGGTCACCGTCCTGCTGGTAGCCCTGCTGGTCCTGGCCCTGCTGGCGCTGGCCCTGCTGGTAGCCCTGGTGGTGGTAGCCCTGCTGGTAACCCTGCTGGCACTGGCCCTCCTGCTGGTAGTCATGCTCCTCCACCTCTTTCGCCTCCGCGAGGCCCGGCTCCGCGAGGAGGTATGGATCCTCCACCGCATTGAGGAGATGAGCGGGCGGCGGCCCAGGAGGCGGCGTCGGCTCCAGCTTCACCTTCTTTCTGAGATGAACGGGCGGCGACCCCGGTGGTGGCCTCGGCCCAGCCTTGCAGCGCAGTGCAGGAGGCCGCATCGGCGGGGCCCTGTCGGGGGGCCGCATCGGCGGGGGCCTGGGCGGCGGCAACATTCTGACGCCCCGCCTCCGAGAGCCGCCTGATGAAGAAGAGGAGGAGGTGGAGACGGGGGAGGAGGAGGAGGAGATTCCCTCTTCCTCCTCCTTCTCCTCCTCATCCTCCTCCTCCTACTCCTCCTCCTCCCCCTCCTCGCTCTCCTCCTCCTGCCATCCTCCGAGGGGCGCGAAGATCATAACATCATAACATAGCGCATAACACATATCGTCATAGCGTCATAGCGTCTCGCGCCTCGCGGCCAATGCCTGGAAGCCTGGAAAGCCGCCTTCCTCGAGAGGGGCGGCGCGAGGGCGCGAAGATGACCAGATAACCGCACTATGAGTTTTGACAGTGCTCATCCGCAGCCGTTTGGGCTTCCTCAAGGTGCAGACGCCAGCAGCTCAAGGCTGCACCCGCGCCGTGCCATGGAGCCATATGTTATGGGCGTCGCCATGTGTGCCGCAGGCATGGTCGTGGGCGCCATGTGTGCCGTGAAAGTGCTCAGGCTCGCGGGAGACAGGCTCGCCGTGCACGGGCCCGAAGCGTCCGAGAACTGGTCCGACGATCCCGAGCCGCCGGAGTCGCCGTCGTCGATCCTCCTGTCTGCAGCTACTGCTGACCCGAGAATTCCTTGGCGGACCCGGTGGTCCCAGCGCCGGGCGCCAGCGCCCGCGGGGTCGCCGCCGAATGGCCCGGTGAGTCCTGCAGCCCCCGCCCTGGCGGACGCGGTGGTGAACGCGTCGGCGCGGCCGCCGCCGAGCACACCTCCGCCGAGCGTGCCCAGGCCCCCAGCAGGGCCGCCGCCGTCGGCCCTGCAGATACCGCCGCCGCCGCCGAGGGTGCCCGCGCCGCCAGCAGGGCCGCCTCCAGGTGTGTTCTTTGCGGAGACCGTGGCGCAACGTGCAGATGCGGATGCGACATGGCGTTTCTTCATGGATCACGGCTTCGTCGTGATCGACCTCGGCCTGGACGCCGAGGACTTGCTCGCCTTGCACAGAGTTTCTGTCGACATGGCGTTGTTGGCGTGCATGCCCGCCACGAAGCACAATCGTGGGACGGGGCGCACGTGCGTCAACAGTATTCAGAATATCTACGGCGGCGCTTGGCAAGAGGCTCTCAAGATCATCTTGCGACGTCATCAGACCTCGTTTGTGCTGGCGGAGTTGGTCAAGGCCTACAACATCAAGTTTCACGATTGCGGCGGTGACTACGTCGAGCAAGGCGTGGACGACGCCACCGAGCTCGCCCACAGGAACCCGTGCGATTGGCATCGGGATTGCAACTACTACCTGCAATGGTTCTGTATATCAGTCCTGACGGCGGAAACAGACCTCCGACATGGACCGCTGTTTCTGGAGAGCTGGAGTACCAACAAGGAACAGGTGATTTTCCTAGGCAAGCCTGGGCTTTGTGTAATTAGAGATGCGTGGAACTTGCACCGCGGCAGTGCAAACACATCCCGCATGCCGCGGGCGATGCCCAGTTTCCGCTTCTGCACTGGCAACAATGCCAGGCCAGATGCTATGACCCCCCACGACCTTCTAGAGTTCATTGGTCTATAGACATCTGTGAGGGAATGGCCCACAAGGGGCCCCATTACACCATACTTCAAATGGCCCACCTGCAGCCCGTGCAGTGTGCATCTCAGCGCGAATTAATGCGTGCCAACAGAAGGTCTCAGCTATATGTCAGGCTGAACGACCGAGTATCCTTTAGTGTGCATCTCTGCCGGCAGAGTTTTCGATAGCTGTTGCCATGTCTGTTTGCATGCACGCTCGCAGAGCGAACCGACCTTGCCTCGGGCAAGCCTTGGAGTGAAAAGAAGTGCAGCCTCTCTCTTCAGCGCTGGTGAGCGGTGTCGTCTGCCTCGCGGGGTCGGGCCAAACAAATAGCTATCGACACCCCAGGCTAAAATACCGAAGCGGTTTTAAGCGGAACCCCAGGAAACGCGAGGTGTGCTGGGCTCCCTCCCCTCCTCCTCCCCCCCCTCCCCCCCCTCCTCCTCCCCCTCCTCATCCTTCTCCTCCTACCTACCTACTAGTCAGTTTGAATCAGTGCCGCATCCTCCTCTGCCTCCCTCCCTCCTCCCTCCGTCCCTCCTCCCTCCCTCCTCTCCTCTCCACTCCACCGCCTCATTTCATCTCCTCCCCTCCGCCTCCCTGGCCATCGTGTGCAGGACAAGAGCATCCTCTCCTCTCGTCCGCCTCCTCTTCTCCGCCATCTCCTCTAAGGCATAATCCGTGCCAGCTGCTTCGGCTGACCCATCCACCCTCAGCTGCTTCGGCTGACCCATGCTCCACCCCCGCCCAGCTTCAGAAGACTTCGACACGACCATCCGTAACAACGGATGATATGTCTAAGGCTGATTGCCCAAAATGGGCGTTGGGGAGCATGCGAACCCTGTGGCCGAACCAGCCAACAAACGTTAAACGAGGCCGAACCAGCCAGCCCGACTGGCGCTGTCTCTTCAAAACGAGGACCCAACACCACAGGGTGGTTGGGAAAGCGACCTCCATCCGTGTAATTTCCGAAGCTGTTAAGACGAAGTGATGAAGATGGGAGGAGGGAGGGGGCAGCGGGAAGAAGGTGGGAACGCGGGGCGCTGTCTCTTCAAAACGAGGACCCAACACCACAGGATGGTTGGGAAAAAAGCCCTGCGGGGACCCCTCCTCCCTCCTCATCCTCCTCCCCCTGCCTCGTGGGGTCGGGCCAAACAAATAGCTATCTTTAGGCGAGATATACCCATTGTAATAGCTTTTTTGGTTCGAGCATTTTGCTCGAAGACCCACGCAGTCAGGCACATCACTTTACTACAACATCAAATCACTTTACTACTACATCAACGATGGACGCTTCGTGGGAACCCCCTCAGCAGGTCAGGCTGCAGAACGGGACATGGAGGCCGGCTCCTTGGTGCAAGTGGGTAAATGATAACTGGCGGTGTTACACGTGCAGCAGCAAGGGCGTTTGCATGACTCCAGAACATATTGCATCTGAGCTCCACGTGCGGCGCACGGACGTCAAGTGTGGCTACTGTTACACGTACACACGTGAGTTCGGGTCGAGGATCGAGGAAGTGTGGACGCATGAGGACTCTATCCGTGCTGCTGAGCCTGATCAGCCTGACACGCAGGACGCCGTCGCTCCTCCAGCGCTCCCCGGTGGTCCTGCAGGGCTCCCCGACCCCGCGGCCCAGGGTCAACTCGCCAGTGGCGTTGTCCAGGCCCCGCTGCCCGGTGCTCCAGGGCTCGTCGCGACGCAGCCGACGCTCCCGAAGATCGACGCGATGCAGACGACGCTCGATGCGAAGATCGACGCGATGCAGACGACGCTCGATGCGAAGCTCGATGCGCTGCAGAGGACGCTCGACAGGCTGGACGTTATGCAGACTGCAGTGGACTCGAAGCTCGAGAGGCTCGAGGCTGCAGCGGAATCGTTGCAGACCAACGTGGACGCGAAGCTGAAGGGGCTTGGCACTGCAGTGGACTCGTGGCAGACTGAAGTGGACGCGAAGCTGGCCGCGGTGACTGAGAAACTCGATAAGATCGATAGGATGTTCACGAGTCCACCGCGCGGAATGGGAGCGGTGGCTGCGCGGGCTGCGCGCGAGGCCTCGTAGTGTTGCTGGCCTGTTGCCTGGAAGGAAGAAGATGGAGGAGGAGGAGGAGACGGGGAGGGAGGGAGGAGAGGGAGGGAGGAGGAGCAGGGAAGACATGTTGAATAGACGGCGCTCGCATTTTCCCTGTCAGCCTAGGCGGCGCAGGACGTTATGCAGCGCACTCGTTGTTAGATCTGCGATAGGGCATCCTAAGGAGCCCGATTGCAGCTTGAATCCTGAGGTAGCCTAGCCAGCGCGACGAATAGGCAGAGCGCCGGCGTACCAGAACGCTCCTCATCGCCATCCTGATCCTCATCCTCATTATCATCACAACAACATCACAACAGCACCGCCACTTGAGGATCCCAAGCTGGAGGAGGAGGAGAAGGCGGTTCTCCTCCTGACACCTGGTGGATGAAGCAATGTCGATACCGCTGGATGACACTCGTCGCCGCGGCTGGATTCGCCTCGAGATTCTGATCCGAACGCGCCCCGGGCGAGGTCCAGCGAGTAGCGGTATCGATGTTGCTTCGAGTAGTGAGTGAGTGAGTGTGTGTGTGTGCGTGTGTGCGTGCGTGCGTGGTTAGCCCCCCCCTCGTCCTCCTCTCCCCTACCCCCTCCTCCTCCCCCTCCTCCTTCCTCCTCCCCCTCCTCCTTCCTCCTCATTCTCCTCCTCCCTCCTCCTCCTCCTCCTCCTCCTCCTCCTCCTCCTCTCCCTCTCCTCCTCCTCATCCCCCTTCCTCGTCGTCCGACGACGCCCGACGACGACGACGACGACGACGACGAAGGAGGCTCGCGCGGGGCCGGCCCGCCCCGGCCTCGCGGAAGCCCTCGGCCTCGCCAGCCCCTGCGGCGCGCGCCGGCCGGCCGTCTCTCCTCCCGCCGCCCTCCTCCTCCTCTCCTCGTCTCCACCACCACGATTTCCTCGACCTCCTCCACCGCCTCTCTCCTCCCCCCTCCTCCTCCTGACCTCCTTCACCGCCCCCCTTTCCTTAAACCACCCCTCGCTTCCTGGCTGACGCCAGACTCCATCTGCCGGCAATGGACGGCTGGGACGTTTTCTTGGACGCCACTCCGCCGCCGTCCGCCGCGCCTAGCGGCGGGGCGACGCGCCCGCGACCCGCCGCCGGCAGCCAACCGCCAGCCCTGGGGGCGCCGCTGTGCAGGGACTTCCAATTCACTCGCCTCAGTGACTACACCATCGACAGGTACGAGAAGCACGTCGCCTTGTGTGATTCTGTAGATTGCGTCATCTGTTTCGCAGCTAAACGCCTGGGTACATCGCACTGGTTCTGGCGCGAAACCCTCTTGGACCCTCTGGCCCCAGACCGCGGTACGTGGGCAGCGTTCGCGACGATGTCGACGGGAAGGCCAGCGCTGGGCTGCTGGATATGCTCTACAAGCACCAAGATGAACAAGCCCGGCCTCGCCCAATTCACTTTGGATTCGCCTGATGCCCTGATCCAATCCAACATCAAGAAGCACGTGAGCTCCCAGATTCACAAGGAGCTGAGCAGCGTCGTCGTTGGCACCATCGCATCTGGGAAGACGCCTGTCCAAATTACGGTTCCTGGGGCCCCATCTGTTTCGACTTTCAGAAGCCTCCTGGAGGCCGTTCGGGGAGAGGGCCCATCCGACCTCCCCGCATTCGGAAGAGCAAGAAAGAAGAGACGCATGTCTTGGTGCATAGCCGAGGCATTGCGGTCTCTATTGCGCTCCTTCTTCAAGAAAAAGACAGTGTCTTCTATTCTGCAAGACACTACGGAGGAGGTCCTGCTCATGCGCATCAGGGGCTGCGATAAGAACATCAACGTGATGAGCGGTATCGTCGGTGCATGTGATTTGACAAAGCCGCCGTTCAACGGCAGAGCGACTGGCATCCGGGACGCTTCCCTGCACGTCCTTCGGGAGTTTTGCACGCCACTTCGGGACCCGCCGTTTTCGAAGAAGCACGGCAAATTCGACCAGAAGCTGTTCAAGAGCGTGTGCGAGTCCGTGCAGATGTATACAGCTGACTCTGCAGCGCCGGAGCAAGTGGCTGGCAAGTTCTTGAAGGACCTTCTGCCGCTGCTGGTCTCCTTCTCTTTTACTCTCCTCCCTCCTTCTCCTCGTTCACTCTCCCTCGTCTTCCACCTCCCTTATCACCACCTCCACCGCTGCTGCTCCGCCTCCTCGTGCTCTCCTAACCCTCTTTCTCCCCCTCCTCCGCAACCTCCGTTCCCTTCTGCCCTCCTCCTCTCCCCCTCCGCTCCATCCCATTTTCCGCGCCCTGAGAGGACGCCGGGTGGGCCCAGGCAGCTGGGTGCATTTCTCGCGACGCGCTCCCTAACTTGAAAAAGGTTGCGCAGGACAAGCCCCACGGCGTCCGGAGGGTGTGCTCGAGGGCATGGGCTGCAGACCAGTACCTGAGCGACACGGCGGACATCATGATCCTCGCGAAAGGTTCGATCACGACCCTGATACAGAACTCCCCGACGTTCAAGGGATGGTTTCAGCAACACAATGAGAAGTTGGATCACTGCCCGTTCCAGGCCAACAGGATCCGCGACCTGAGCTTCGCAAAGCATCGCTTCAATTCGACGCAGAAGCCTTTCGGGCGACACGTCCTGATGTTCAAGAGCGTGATTGCGACGGCAACCCAGATAGCTACCTCTCGCGTGGGCAAGCAGGAGAGCAAGCTGGCCTCGGCGTACTTGTCCTTTCTGGACGTGGAGCGCGCAGTCACGTTGGCTCTCCTGGCAGATGCGGGGGACGAGTGCAACATGCTCATCCGCGTCATGGACACCGAGCGCATGGACGTCTCTGCTGTTTCCATGAACTTGCGCGCCTTCCTCAGCAGGATCCATGCTCTCTTCGTTGATGAACATTGTTGGAAGCTCGGCTACACGCAGTACATGGTGCAGCAACTTCAGGAGCCCGTGCTCCTCCTCGCAATGGATGGTCAGAAGACGCTGGGATGCGCGGCCGGCGTCCCCGTCGACGTCAAGAGGAGGTGCGTGCAACGGATGGCTAATTGGGTCCACTTGGCCCGCGAGACCATACGTGCAGAAATTCGAGAGTTCGAGATCATCTACGCGATGAGGGCATTCAATCTCGGCGAGCTATCGCAGTCCCTCGGCGCGCCCGCACAGGGTTCGCAGCATGACCTAGGGAATCAGACTATGTCCCAATTGCGAGCAAGTTGCGACAGCTTGGCCGAATTCGTCTGCGTGAACCCGACCGCACTGTTCAGCCAGCTCAACGACGTGAGGCCGATAGCGCAGCAGATGCTGATAGACCCGTCTTGTACTGGTACTATCGCCGCGTGGGCGATGGCGGTTGCCGAGTGTCAGAAAGACGCCCGAAACGCGAAGCTCCACCCGGTGGGGGCGTTGAGGCCAGTACTGATGACCTTCGGCGCCTACGGCCCGAGCACTAGCGGCCTTGAGCAGAACTTCTCGCAGATCCTCAACCTCGCTGGCGCGAATCGGCCAGACAAGTGGGGGGGCTACATACAGGACGAGCTCGTGATCAAGCAGCCGTGGAGCAAGGACCACATCGATCGAGCGGTGGCGCTGGCGCCCAAGATCTGGGCAAAGATTTACGGACCGGTTCGCAGGCCAAGAGTGCGCGTCCGCATGGACTTACACAAGGAAGCCCCCGCAAGGGCGCGCGACGTCAACACTGAGACGTCCTGGATTCGGGGCAGGCGCGCCGATGTTCAGGGCGTTGTTTCCCAGACACGGCCAGTCGACTTGATGAGCGCCCCGGGCACGCGGACCGTCGGGGTTGACGGATGGACCGCCGACCACGAGAAGGAGGTGAAGTTCCAACAGAATAAGAGGCAGAAGCGTTTTCACGATTCCGTGCTGAATGGAGAGATCCCGGAGGACCAGCTGGCCTGCGCCAGCGAGGACCCAGGATGGAACAATGAAAATTTCCTCCTCACCCTCCTATCCCTGGCCCCGCCCCCCTCCCGTCCCTGGCCCCACACCCCTCGCCCTCCTATCATCCCCGGCGCCACGTCGGAGGGCCCCTGCGGGGCGCGGGAAGTCAGCAGGGGAAAAGCTGTGCACAGGGGGAGGGGGCTGAGGGGGGGAGGAGGAGAACACTCGAACAGGCACGTGGTCAGCCAAGTCAAAGCGGCGACATGCAACGCAGGAAAACAATGCAATGCTGATGATGCAACACAGCAAAAAACCTCGCTATGCGCGCGGAAGGACGGGGGGGGAGGACGCGGCGGAGGAGGAGGACCCAAACTATCTTCTGATTTCGGGGGTGTGTCACCATCAGGAGGAGCTCAAGGGCGTCCTCGACCAAGTAGCGACGGAGAGAAAGAGGGTCAATGCATACGTGGCGAAGGCCAAGAGACAGTCCGCAGCCGAGGCGCCGCACGTCGCACGACTGCGCGGCAAGAATGTTTTCTTCGATAAGTCCGTGGCCCTCCCGGAGGCGAGCCGTGTTGCTGACGTACTAAATAGGAACGGGGCCGGCGTAGTTGCGACTCGTCCAGAGGCGGACGTGTTCGTTGTTAAGGATGTGGAGTCTCCTGGGCAGCGCGTCCAGTTCGCGGCAGCCCTGATCGGCGGCGTGGTGTGCACGTTTGTATATCTTGAAACGCGCGGTGCTGCGGGCGTCGCCGTGGCTTACAAGCCGCAAGTCACAGTGCATCGGTTTGCTTGGTGTTCGGCAGCGTTCATAGCTGCGCACCCATCTTTGCACGAGATAATTCGGGGAATGAGCGAGCGGAGCGAGTCTAAATGGACTTTGTATGAGCCTGATTGTAAGCTTGTGTTCGCAGAGAAGGCGACCCGTCTCAACGCGCAGAAGAAATTCGCGAACTCCGTTGCTTTTGTGACTGCCGGGGAAAAGGCCGATCCAGCCATCTCGTGCGTGAGAACGCGCCTTACAGGCCCTGAGGCGCTTTTAAAGTATGTGGTGCTGGACCCCGTTCGATGCGCGGTCGGTGCGTGCCATCGATGATGATTCGGAGTGTTGCAAGGCTGCAAAACACATTCGAGATTTGGCGGGGCTGTTGCGGCCTGGGCGGTTGTAAGTAAAACACAAATCATCATCATCGTCATCGCCACTGTCATCATCATCATCATCATCACAAGCTCGATCACCTCGGTCATCGTCATCACCGCCGCTGCCGCCACCGCGATCGCCATCATCGTTCGCAGTCGCAGCCGACGCCCCAACGAAACGAGAGGGGGAGGGGAAGCAGCGGGAGGAGGAAGAGGAGGGGGAGGGGGTGGGGCAGGCCTACGGCGCGAAACACCTCCGATGGGGGGGGGGGCTGAGCCATGGGGCCCAAAGCGGTCCCAAGAGACCTCTCAGACTCCCCCAAAGAGCCCCAAGAGGGCCCCAATATGGCCCCGAAAGAGCCCCAAGAGGGCCCCAAGAGGGCCCCAAGAGGACCCCAACAGGACCCCAAGAGGACCCCAAGAGAGCCCCAAGATGGCCACAAGAGACCTCCGAGAGCCTCTCGCAACAACACCTCAACTCGCCTGGCGATTGTTTCTGGATGGGCTGGTGGGGATACGCGAAGCGTTAAGGATTTTGGCGAGCAGGCACGGTCGCACTCTGGGAGTGGCTATCCCCTCCTTCCGAGCCTCGCTCGGGCGGCAGCTAGCTACTAGGCACTCGTTTCATCCTGCCTCCTCATCCTTCTCCTCATCCTCCCTCCCCCTCCCCCTGCTCCCCTCAGCCGGCTCGGAACCCCACCAGAGCGCGGCAAGACCGGGACCTCAGACCTCAGTCGAAGTAGGGAAACACAGGAGGATAAGCCTTCGCCTTCGCCCAGCCCGAAGAAGGGCACCAAGGGTCGGGCTCCACGATAGCCGGAGGGAGCTTCACCTGTAGCAAAATCTTGCGCAAGACGCGGCCGACTATCGGGACAGGCGGCGCCTCAGCGACGAGCTTCTTGTACTGGTTCTCGCTGATGATGCCGTCGTACTTGAAGTGGTCGTTCCGAATGGCCTGCAGCGACTCCATCTCAGTAGTCGCCATGAACCGCTGCCTCCCCCAGATGAAGTAGCCGTTCGGGCGGCTGGGCGTCAGGCCGATCGAGCATCCTCGCAAAGTGTCGGGGTCCCTCGTCGGACCGACGCTCAAGTCCGAGATGATGATCTGATTGCCGGGGGGGTTCGGCATCTTCACGTCTATGGCGGGCTCGAGCCAGTCCTTGACCTTCTTGCAATTGCGGAGCTGGGCCGGACTCAGGCCCGGCGGCTCGTCGAAGTCGGGCCTGGAGAGTGGCGCGACGTATGGGTCCAGCACGTCCGCGAGGCTCTTCTCCTCCATCTGAGAGAGGGTCAACGGGTTGGAAACGGCCCTGGGATCCACTGCCGTCTTGAGGATGCCAACGAAGAACAACCTTTGCGACGCCTGAGGCAGGCCACCATCGCAACGCGCGTCCATCGGGTCGCTCCAGACGTAGTAGCTCGGGTCGCCGCTCTCGGTCGTGAGCTTCTTCTGCAGGTAGCCGTGCACCGCCGCCATCTCTGGCTTCATGCTCGCGCTGTAGAGGTGGGCCCTGGACTCGAGCAGGAATGCCTTGGGCCTCTTCTCCTTGATGTAGTTGAGAACGTGCATCGTGACGATATCCTTGTCGTGGGGGTTATCCACGCCGTCGGACAGCTCCTGTGCCGTGCACTGGCCATTGTTCGGAAGCGAGGCGCAGTAAATGTCCACGTAGGGCGTTTGCTTGTTGGGGCGCTTGGTGATGTCGCTGCACACGATGCACAAGCCCGGGTTGTGCTTCTTGATGAACTTGCGTGCCCACAGCCGGTTGTCGGACGCGAACGCGTGCACGACATCCTTCCCGCCTTTGACCAGAACAGCGTCCAAAGCGACCTTGAACGTGTCCAGCCCCGAGCAGTCGGTGCCCAAGACCACCTTGTCGCTGCTGATACCACCAGTGCCGAGTTCCAGCTGGGACGCCATCTCCACGTCCAGCACCTCCAGCGACTGCCACGCATCATCCAGCTCCGCCGGGGCCACCTCTGGCGGGTCCTCCTCCTGCACAGGAAGCTCAGGGGCCGGGCGCTTGCGCGGGCGGGGCGGCAGGCCCAACGGGCGCAGAGGCAACGGGCGCAGAGGCAACGGGGCAGACTGCTGATTGAAGGCCATGGCGACCCGCGTCGGTCGGCAAAAGTTTGCACGGCGGTACGTGCGCCTGCCCAATCAATTTGGGCCAAAACCATTGCGGACTGGTGCGTTTCGCTCGCTTCTTGCGAAACGTTTTTTCGGCTTCGCAATTGCCCTGCTCGTCTGGAGGCTCAAAGGCCGTCTTGGGGCCCTCTTCTTGGGGCGGGGCTCTCTTGGGGCGCTTGGGCGTTCTTGGGGCCCTCTTGGTGCCTCTTGGGCCCCTCTTGGGGCTCTCTTGGGCCATCTTGGGGCGATCTTGAGGCCTCCGAGGCCCATCGGAAGCGAAAAGGCGAGAAGGCCAAAAACACTGATTTTCCTTAAGTTTTGGAGCCATTTGGGCCTCTCAGAGGGGTCCTTGGAGGGCTCGGTGGGCACTTGAATTCGTCTTGGGGCCGTCTCGGGGCCTCTTGGAGGTATGTCGGAGATTATATTGAGCCATCTTGAGCTATCGTGCGCCATCTTGGGCTCTCGGAGGGCCTCTTGGAGCCATCTTGGGCCATCTTGGACGCTCTAACCCCTCCGTCTCCCCAACAGTCCATCCAACACCACGTACTGTTAAACCACCTACGCCCAGAGGGCTGGTGGGATAACCTCTTCGCCCCTGGTCACCCTCCCTCACCCTCCCCCCCTCCCCTCACCCTCCCCCTCCTCAGCCTCCCCCCTTCCCCTCACCCTCCCTCACCCTCCCTAACCCTCCCCCCCCTCCCTCACCCTCCTCCCCTCGCCCCTCCTGTCTTCGCCTCCTCCCCCTCCCCTCACCTCCTCCTCCTACTCATCCTCCAACAAGCTGTGACTCCAAGAGCCTCCCTTCCCCCCTCCTCCTCCCACTTATCCTCCCCCCCCTCGCGCGGGCGCCGCCCCCGCCTCCGGCAGGCGGTCGACGCGGCGGTCGACGACGACCTGCACGGGGGGGGCCCTGCCGGCGAGGGGAGGAGGGGGGGAGGAGGGGGGGAGGAGACGACGACGACGACGACGACGACGACGACGACGACGACGACGACGACGTAGATGACAACGATGAGCACTACGACGACCACGACGATGAGGTCGGCTGGTTCGGCCACAGGGGGAGACGACGACGTCGAGGACGACGACGACGACCACGACCACGACGCGATCGTACCCCCTGCGATCCACATAAAAACGTGGTGGAACCACGTTCCCCCTGCAATCCACATATAAACGTGGTGGAACCACGCCCCCCTTGTTTCATTTTGTTTCACTTAAGGCCCCTATGTTTCACTTAAACCCCATGGGTAAAACCCCAATGGTAATGATGATGGTGCGTGCCGTGTCGGGAGAGGCCGCGCATGCCTACGCGTTTTTTCCCCGGAAAGGGCTTGAGCCCAGGGTTCTCTTTTAGATGGTTTCCCCCCGGGTTTGGCGGGAAGAGGGCCGGCGAATTTCTTTTGCGATAAATAACGAGTGGGAAGAGGGCCGGCGAATTAAAATTTGAGGATGTCCCTAGCGAAACGCTTGTTTTTCAGAATTTATTGAGGATGTCTCGAGCGAAACGCTTGTTTTGTGTTGTAGATTGTCCTCTCCTGGGGACCTGAATTCTGAGGATCTCTCAAGTGGATTGCTTGTTTTCACGTGCCCAGGTCTTGAGGATGTCTCGAGCGAGACGCTTGGTTTCACGCCTCCAGGTGGCCCAGACAGATGTCTAGCATGAGGATTTGTTGAGGATGTCTCGAACCAGAGGCTTGTTTTCACG